ACGGGATGAATATATTACAGCTGAAGGTATTCTTTTATTTCTTTATTTTTCTATTATTATTTTTGTTTTCAGTTTTTAATCTTGCAATACTATTTTAAATCTATCTTCTTTTTTTAAAACAAGGATGCTTTATAGAACCCCCAGATTATTTTGATAAAATAGTTTGGCCAAATTATGTTGAGTTTCATAAACATTTATCTATTAAAGGACAATCATCCGGTTTGATAGATGGTGTAAAAAGTGGATGGAAGGTTATTGAAGATTTGGTCGTTTTAGATACAAATAAGGAAGATGAATTTGGAAAAAATCTTGAGGAAGCTGTTGAAACTGTGATAAAATTTATTGAAAAAAAATTTGCATAGCATAATTATAATCGTATTGTTGATTTATAAATTATGGCTTTAATATTTTTCAACCGTTTTTTTTTGAAATTATTAATTATTTTCAACATGGTCATACATTCCACTCGCTAATTAATTAATAACAAAGTATTTTTTAAGAAAAGGGAGCCAGGTTAAGGATAGGTTAGGATAAGGTGATAATTAAAAACTTTTTAACTCAAACTTTACAAGAAACTTTTGTTATTAGGACGGAACGGGGACACCTTCATAGCAAAATTATGGATGTGATTTTAAAAAATTTATTTTCACATTTTTGCACTCGATTAGTTAAGAGTAGGGCTGTTAATCGCTCCGTCCGGTCCATCCTGGCCTGGACTGAATAAGACCGATTAGAATTATATCAGATGAATCGACTATTCAAGATATTAGACATTTTCCCAAATACGATTTGAATTGAATGTATAGATAGTTGTAAAAAAAGAAAAAAGAACTTTTGATTTGTAGTATTATTCATACGTACATGACCGTGTAACTTGAAACTATTACCGCATAAAAGTTTTCAAACTTAAGAGAGGCCAAAATTGTAAAATTATTTGATCACTAACCTAGATTTTTCAAAATTTCTATTTGCTGGGACTATTCGCATATCACCTTTTTATAATATGATATCGATATCTTAATTGGAATTATGGTTAGAATTAGCGGCAGCACTATACCAAAATTTTTTTTGTCAATGCGCAAAACGTGATTTTTTAGGCGAAATTTTGAAAATTTCACGTTACATCTGATCTTGCTTTCTGATTGGCTAGGATCATATCACGTTATTAGGGATCGATTTTTCCAATCAAAAATGCGAGTTACCGAGAAACTTGGGTGAAATTAGTAAACTCCACTAACCTACAAGAATAGCCAGAATTATGTCATAATTATTGTTGTGCACTTTCTCACGAATTACATCATAATTGCGTATTTCCCTTTTGATTTCACAGGTAGGGTGTGTAACGGCCTATTAAATCAAATATAGGCAGGGTCACTAATGATCATCACTAATTGCGGATTTTTTATGGGTATCGATGCACACATATTAATATCATTAAAACAAAAATTACATTTATTGAAATAAGTAGCTGCAGTCTTATTACCTCAACCGACAAAGATATTTTTTTCAATATTAATATCTCATGAACTATTAGTCGGAATCAAATTATTTTAATACCTTATAAATTATTTAATTAGGTCGAATCGATTCTGATCATTAGATTATGAGGAATGGTTGATTTTTTAAAATCCGCCACAATACCCATACTCGCCATAATACCCATATCTACTTTATAAATTTCCGACTGACGTCTTACATAAGCGGAAATCTCCGGCATTTTACAATAGGTTTTGTGCTCTGATTCAACAAAGACAGTGCCCGATCCAGAGTGAATCCCTCTCTCCTGTGATCAATCACAAATTAAATTATTTCTATTGGATTCAATTGTGATGGATATAATCCCTCACCAGTTTTAATATGTGTAACAATAACGGTCTCTGCAGATTTTTGATTTCGAACAAAATTAATGATGTATTTATTTCTAAATAAGCAATATATCAATTCTTTTTTTCGAACAAGTAAATTCTGAATCGCTCTAAATAAATAGCTAATCTATTTTAAGTTGGCGTCTTTTAAAGTTGCATTAACTGAAAACTAGTCCCTGAGATGACTGGTAAGTTTTTCTGGTTAGTAATTTTATTGCAGCCTAAGATGAATGAAGTTGCAACTTTAAGCATGACAGTAACCATATTCAGAAAAATTCAATGCAAGATAAGATAAAATAAGAAAGATAGAGGCATGAACGAAATTAGGAAAATTTAAAAACCTCACAAAATTGCGGGCCTGATATATTATAAATATAGTAAAATTCGGACTGAACTTTAAAAAAACAAAATTTATTTTGCAGGACTCTAAAGCAGGGTTTATCTCAGATGTTTTAACCAACTTTGTAAGAAAGATTAGTATGAGTAAGACAAAATCACTAAGGCGAATAGCTATGGCTAGAAATTACTAATTATTGCTATTATTTTTCTTGACATTTGGTAATAAAATTTCACTTCAATAGTAATAAAAGTATACTTAACGTTAACGCAACTTAGTAAACCGATTGAGTTTAGGTCCTAGAAAATTCCTGCATGTGGGATTTTATTTGGTTAGTTTGAATTGTTTGTGGCACTAGAGACGCCTTGCAGCAACAATTGTGAACTAGAGGTGCAGGCCCCGTAACTATATAAAAAAGTTACGCCATAACTATTTATAATTATTTAATATAGTTACGGCACCTCTATTGTGAACTGCCGCTGGCGCTGTTATTTTGTTTTAATAAGATCAAACATTATTACTTTATATAGGTTTGTCTTTGAACGTACGTACATCTAAATCATGTTTTTGAGTACAACTAATTAAAAACTTTAAAACTGACAAACTTAATTATATAATCCCCGATCACTATATCAAGATCATGGGAGGATTAATTAATAATCCCCTGACCGTATGTGAATAAGCGAAACTTATTCCCAACGGATCAGGTTATTATTATTACAAATAGATAGAGATGGGCACTTATTACGTAAAAGTTAAATCACATTATGCGATAATTTAGTATGCTATTAGTTGTAAGTATATATTGTCGGGGATGATGCTGAAATCGGATGATGCTGAAATTTGGGGTCTTAATTTGAAAATATAAACCTACTAAAATCCACCTATACTCTTTTATTATAAACATTAACCCTAACTTCTAATCGAACTAAGAAAAAAAAGCTGAACAAACACCCCCAAAAAATTTTTAATTTTTCATAATAAAATAAGTCAAAAATTCAGCATCATCCCCGACATATATTATTAGTAAATTGTCGCATAGTGTGATTTAACTTTTACATAATAAGTAAATTACCTTGCCCATCTCTACAAATAGATTACTCAAAAGCTTAATTTTGAAACTCGCACCATTAGAAAAAATAACAATTTCACACATTCAAAATAGTATATAAAAATCATACTTAAAAAAATGGAGTGCCGCATTGCTGGAATTTATGGATCTCTTCGTAGAGATAGTTGTAATAAAAAATTGATTCTTCGAGCTCAGCAATTATGTGCTGAACATGTACCTAAAGCTCGGATTGATATAATCGATTGGAGTCAACTACCTGTTTTTAATCAGGTAACTTATAATGTATTGTTAAACACGGTTTTTCTTGGACCTCTTATGAGTGCAATGCCGTAAATGGTCGTAATTATAATGAATTACGGCATTTTTTGCCGTAATTCATTATAATTACGACCAATTACGCATTGCGCTCACACCTCTATGGGTGACCATAATCTATAATAAATTTATTAAAATATTTTATTAAAAAGATCATCTATACTGCTTTTCCTTCTATTTTACATAATTTTAATAGGATTTGGAAGAAGATCCGCCTAACTCGGTTCTTAAACTTAAAGAAGAAATCGGAAATTGTGATGCAATTCTTTTCTCTACTCCTGGTAAGAATAAAAGCATTATAGCTGGTTTCACAAATTATGTAACGACTGACAACTAAAAAATTTCACGATGGCTAAATTGATATCACCAATAAAAAATTATCGTTATGAAGCCAGCTGTAAATAAACATGTTAGACTTTCACCGACGATTAATCCTCTTACATATATCGCCAAGTACATTAACAAATAAACAATTTATTAGCTAATGTTTAACACAAATAACTTAGTGTCTTTTTAAAGGTTAGGGTGAGTGTATGATCGTTTCTTCATTTTATAATAGAAATCCATCCCCAGCAAAACAAACTCGTCGGTCAATTAATCGTCGGTGAATAAATAATTGCACGAAAACTTATTTTAATTAATACAATAATAATGAATTATAGAATACATGACGAGTATTCCAGGTAGATAAATTATTCAGATTATTCAACCTTTCAAAATTTAAATATTTAAATCATCCCGACCAGCTCCATCCACATAACTTTCTTAGTGTATTTATTTCTATTAGTAATATCTGTTTATCCTAAATGATTAGCATATGCCTTGGTCATATTTTAATTTTTTCGTTAAACCATTAATTTTTGAATAAGTACATGAAATTTTATGCTACAATATTAATTACATAATATCAAGGTCCTTTAAAAAACGCAATCGATTGGGCAAGTAGAACAAGAATTGGTAATCGTGGTGATGTTCTCTCCAAAAAACCTGTCGCCGTAATTAGTACTTGTTCTTCAGGAACCGGTTCTGTTCAAACAGTATTAAACCAAATTTTGATTGCCCTGAACATGATAACCGTTGACACGTAAGTTTTCTCAAAATAATCAATTATTGTTATTATTAAAAAATTTTCTTCAATTAGTTAATGTTTTTTTCTAATAATAGACCATCTATAATGTTATCTGGGGCTTATAAAACATTTCAAGAGGATGGTAGTTTGAAAAGTAAAGAAATTGAAGAAAAAATTGTAAAACTATTAAATGATCTTGTGATTTTAAACAAACGTTTAAAAGACAAGTTTTAAGGCCATGTAAGTTAATTTTCTTTTGCATTAACTGCAAACCCAAATATTACAAGAATTCGATAATTTGTTTTTATAAATATTTGTTTAAATGTGTGTAACAAGATTGTTTATTTTTAACAATTTAATAAAATACAATTTATAAAATTAATATCTAAAATTAATGTACGGAAGAAGCGAGACGCACAATAAAATAATTTCTGCACTTTAAAGATTAACAATATGTGCGCAAAGCGCACATACGTTTTAAAATTATGGATAAGCGCGCACACTAAACATTTTAAATTCATATATCTCTTAAGCTCCGACATACGCTATATATATTATTAAGCAATCTTGCTAATTAAATATATGATCAAAGTAAAATTACTGTATGCAGCAAATTTTAAAAAATTTTACTTTTTTAAAAAAAATTTTTACTTAATAATTTTATTAATAATTTTAAAAAAAATTTATATATAAAAATTATTTAAATATATAATTGTTTGAATGTTTAAAATGTTTTTTTTTTAGACTGTACTATGAGTAGTATACAAAGGTATAAATCCAAACTAAAAATATAAATGTTTTTTAAAAAAATTAAATATTTTTTAAGAACTATGAGAACTGAATTTTAAATACTGCTGCTATTAATTTAAAAATCTAATTATTATCTTTATTCAATTTAGTTTCAAATCTTTAACAATTTTATATTATTACTAATAATTTCTTAAATTCTAAATTATAAAAAGACCAAGACTTTCTTACAAAGTTTATTTAATATTCTGATTAAATAATATTATAGTTAGTTCATGCTATAGTGATTCTGGCTATTATCACCACCTGTCAAAAATTACATTAATTTAATCTAAATTATTATAAAATATAAAACAATTTAAGCTGCCTATAAGCACAATCTTATTATAATATTTTTCTTTAAGTTAAAAAGTATAATTACACTATAATAAAGGCTGACTATTATTAAAAACAAATTTATAATCATGAGATCTTGTAGTCTTATTGCAAATGATAAATGAATATAATACAATAATACTTTAATTTTACAGTATAATATAAATACAATTTTGATTATCTCTAAGCTTCCAAATGGCAAAGCTTGTGGACCTACTGGCATCAGCTACAAAATGATCAAGCACTCTGGTCTAACATGTTTACAAGCTCTCACAGTTCTTTTTAATCTTTGCCTT